CACACTAAGCACTTCTCTTAAAAGGAAGAACATAAACATCCCATTTAGAGTTCTTAAATGTATAGCATTGCTTTGCAAAGTGATGCTTCTTTGGTTTGCACAGGACTTGTTTTCATCAAGTAAAACTGTGAAGTCCAACGCTACGTCTCTCCCCACCAGCAAGTCCATGACAAAAGCTCCGCTCTCTCTGTTCGATGATGATGAAGAGGTAAGTACCACTTCCTGATACCGTCTGTGTTCCCATGAACCCTTCTGCACAGCCTGTTGCAAATGCAGCAGGAAATGTTCAGAAGTTTACAACACAAAGCTGGTAAATGGAGCACTGAATCAGATGACTAAATCGATCTTGCATTGTGTAACTGTTCCCAGCATTATGGAGGAGAGCAGTAGCAGGGACTGTTGCAAGTTCTTAGTGTCTTTTTAGTACTTTTTGTAGTCATTGCATATCTCTGGACCTAAACATGAAGGACTTTATCCCTCTGATAGGACTAGACAACACTGAGCAGCAAAACATGAGCTTCTGGAAGCTGTTTTATCCTAGTCTGTAGTACCTAGCCGTATGGATGACTTCTTGCTTCTCTTGTGTCAGGGCTGATGAATTCCCTTTTTTTCCTCATTTTCAGTGTTTAAGAATTATGGGTGCTAGTGTAGAAACTGAGATCTGAGCACAGTTTGCGCAAGAAACGTGACAAAATTGAATTAGTATGTCCCTTTCTTTTTTTACCCTCTTCTGCCACCCACACACCCTTCAAACAACTTTCAACTCTGGGCCTGCAGCAGCCTTCATGGGGAGTTAACTTACCCCATAGTCTTAACCTGAGGCAAATCAGAGGCCTGCTCAGAGCCATAAGGGACTTCTGCAAACTCAAGATAAAGGTTTCTTGTTCAAGAAAGCCTTGCTCCCAACTCACCGTTCTGAACAGGGGCTGTTCAGAAGCAACTGTCAGAGTAGTGAAACATTGTCTAATTTGATACGGTCTCTGGTATCTGTCGTGAGGGTTGTGTTATGGAACTGAAGTTCAAATTGAGTGGAGAAAAGCATAAATAAGTGTTAGGTCATTACGTCAACATATTTTTTGCGTATTCTGATGCCTATATAATAATCTGCATGAGTTTCTTCAGGTGAAGAGTCTTGGTTCTTGCCCAGTGGTAGTGGTTCAGCTTGCCTATTGCCTGTCCTCAGAATAGTATTCATTTTCTATTTTGTTACCTAGATGTGGAAACAGTGCCCCATTGTGTTAGCTGCTGTGCAACAGAATTGCTGTACGGTGGTTTTTTGACTGCTGGTCAAGCCTTACGATGGAGAATCTGTGGGCCAGAACCAGGCTGTGGGCTTACAAGTTTCTTGTCTGTCAAATGCTTTGCATGTAGAATTCTCTGTATTACAGTGTATCACACTTGAAATTGTCTTGACAAAGGGTTCGCAGAACACCATTTTTCTATCCTACTCATCTGAGAAGTGGATGGCAAGTGTCTTGCCTGCTAATGACTTGTCATTGAGCTTTTAATTGTGGCTTTGGCTATCAATTTTTTTAAAAAAAGATATTTTTTTTAAGGATCTCTTTGGTGTGGTACCTGCCAAGAAGCAAGAGGAGAAACCTCCAGAAGAGAAAGCAAAACAGTCGGAGTCACTCAAGAAAGCCTCCAGCTTGTTGTTCAGCAGTGATGAGGAGGTACTAAGGAGTAAGATTTGATTGAAAGGGGTTACTTGGGTTTCAGCTGGGAAAAGCATAAAACTGTTGATAGGAACCACAGTCAGACTCTGCTGTGTCTGCCATGCCATGCCTGCCCTAGTCCTGTGACGTATTTGAATCTGAGGAAGCTGTCTGATTCTTGGCCCAAATTATCTCAAGACCTAGATAACAGAAGTCATGTGGAAGGGAAAGCTGGTATTTTCAATGCAAATTGTAGAAAGATCAATAGCAAATGGAGACTGCTGCCAACAAATCTGACTTATTTTTCTCTTCCAGTACTTTTAAGTTTGCTCTTACTGTTTTAATCTATGTAAGGAAATTTTAGTAGTTCTAGATAGGTATGTTGTGAGTTTTTCTGTGTTTTGGGGTTTTGGGGTGGGGGGTTTTTTTTGTGTGTGTGGTGCTTGAGTTTTTTGTTTGCTTGGTCTGTTTTGGTTTTTGTGTTGTTTTTTGTTTTTTAAATCTAGAGATGGGAAAAAATGGAATGTAGGGACAGATTAGGTGATTTCTTTCATCTTAAATGAAAGCCAGACACACTAAATAAATTAAAAATTTGTCTGCAAAGTGTCTGGATTAACTCACGTGAATAGGATCCAGACTATTCTTAGCCCTCCCACCTCCCCAAAGTTATTCTTTTGTGCAGACTTGGTTTTTATTATCTGTTCTGTAATTGCTTGTTTAGTGGATACTAGTAGTATCTTTAGATACATTTTTGTCTTGGACTAAACCAAATTCATACTTCAACATGCCTGTACACCTATCCAGAAAGGGGATGAACAGAGGTGGGGAATGGGGCAAACCAATTGAAACATTGAATAAGAGAACACGCAAGCCAGAAAACTCTCCCAACCCCAGAAATGTTTCCTAATGTAAATTTTTTTGACTTGTTCTCTGAGCCTTGATGAAGTGCTAGCTCCAGAGGGATAAAAAAAAAAAAAGTGCAGCATCATGCACCCTAGGAATGAGGTGCCTGGAGTCTGGGTGTTGTGAGTTTTCTTGTTTTTTTTTTTATTTTGTTTCTTTCCCCATACATCAGACTTGCTAATTATTTAAGTGGCTCAAATCAGGTTGTATTGGGTGACCTCACTCCTGTGACTGCAGTTGATCCTGACCTTAGTTGTTAGGAGCAACTAAATAAAGTGTGTGTACTCTGTTTTGCTGGGCAAATAGCAAAAGAAGGTGGTCAGGCTCTCTGCAAGGCGTGAGCAAGGTCAGACTGCAGTGGCTAACACAAAGGCAGGAGCATAAACTAGTAGAGAGATGCAAGGATTGCCAAGATCCTGAAGTGTTTCTGCTTATAGAGAAGATGGGAAAGTGACTTTGACCAAGACAAAAGAAAACTTAAAGGTTCCTTGTTTTTAAGGAACACTGGAATATCCCCAAGCCAGCAAAACTTCCTTCTGAAGATGACCGAAAAGAGGACCCTGCAAAACCAGCTAGCACTGTCACTCAGGCTAAAGCTGTGAAGAAGACGAGCCTCTTTGAAGAAGAGGATGAGGAGGATTTATTTGCAATCACTAAAGAGAGGTGACAGCACCAGGAGGGGAGGGGAGAGGCATTTTTTCAGAGCAGACCAGCAGCGCCCTTAAACCTGGGCGGACCTGGGCATGTTGCAATTGTTGTCCCGTGCTACTTGTGCTGAGGAGGAAGTAGAGGCGTGTGAGTGGGAATGGACTGGGCTCTTGTCACCTCTTTTGTGTTTGTGCTGAATTATTCTCCTTGCCATCACTGAACTGGGCTTTCCATTTCCATGCCTGCGATATAAAATCCTCTTTAAATCCTCTTGGTGTCTTTTTATCTTCAGTTCTGCAGAAAGCTTTACAGACAAGAGTGGAGGGTTGTAAAATGGAGACAGTGAGGAAGCTGAGTCGTGTATCTGGGACTGCTTGATGCAAATCATTGTCCTAAGTGATGCTTTTAAACAGATGTGCCTCTGAAACTTTGCACTGAATCTTCTACTTTCTCTTCTCTCTCACTGCAGCCAAAGAAAGCCACAGAAGGTATCGTTGTTGTTTGAAGATGATGCTATTAATGGGGAATCACTTTTCACCTCCCAATCAACGCTACTTCCTTCAACTACTAAGGCTGCAGCGGTACATCCTTTTTCTTTTAAAACTAATGTGATACACTTGGTCCTTTTATAGTCTGTCTTCCTTGTTAGGTACTGAGTGTAAGTCTATCTTGCTTTAGACAGTGGTAGTTCTAGAAAATTGGGAATGGAAACAGGGCAGATTGAACTCTTTACATGTAATACTTCTTACTACCATCAGCCTGATCCAGATTTCAAAGTTTTCTTGACCACTAACTCCAAATTTGTTTGATTTATGCTAAAAGCCCTTCCTAAGGATGTTTTGAGAGCTCTCAACCATAAAATACTTTTCACAGGAACAAACTGCTTACTGCTGATTGTGGAGCCAGGGCTTCACCCTTTATGTCACCTCAACACAAGCTGATTCACAAGTGTCTACGGGCTTCGTACTGGCCCTTTGTTGAGGGTGCTTATGCTGTCATCTGTCTTACAAATTTAGCCCATAGAGTACTGACTGTCTGGTTGTGCTTTGGAATTGAAAGTAGAGTTGCAAAAGCTTAATGCAGCTGTATCTGTAATGTGGATTCCTGTACGTATGTGTGTACCACCCCGTAAGCTGTCATGGCCCATAAACATAACAGACTGGGGAACAGAAGAAGGATCAGACTAGCCGCAGTCTAGCTGCTGGCAGTCATAGGAGGTGGTGCACCAACGAGACAAATTCACAGGGCATGTGCTCTAAGATTGCAATTCCTTCCTGACAGAAATCAGCCAGACTCAAGAGCTTATAATTCTAGAAATCAAAAGCCACAAACAAGAATGTCCAATGGGAGGAAAGTAGAAGTCAAGCATGTTGCCAATGACTGTAGGCACCTGCAGAAGGTGAACTGAAACTGCTATGCCACAGCAGTGTATGCTGCTTACGTACTTAACAATTTTGTGTCACCAAGATTCTCTTATTTTTGCAGGAGAAAGTAAAACCAGCACAAGCACTGCCTTTCTTTAATGAAGAAGAAAAGAAGGAAAAGGAAGATCTGCTAGGTAGAGCAGCAAAGTCTAACCAGGCAGAAGATACATTGTGGTGTTTAGAAGAGCCCAGAGCAGTTCCTAGAGGAGCAGTGCCTAGAGGAACAGACGTTGCAGGGCAGCAAACAAAGGAAAAAGTGAGGGATTTTCTTACATTGATCTAAAGTCTGGTAAAGGTTCAGTTTTAAAAAGCCAATCTAACAGTGCTGCTCTAAGACAGAATTCTTCTTCTGGATTGCCTCTTCTATTGCCAAGGAGAGAATAACTGTCTCTTTAGCACAATCACTTGTCAATGAAACAGCAAATTAATTCAATGTAATTTAAAAGTCGTTTCCCAACTGACTTTCACAAGAGTTGTTTGGGGTTTTTTTGGTTGTTCAGGTTCTTTTTGCCTATGCTAGCGTGACACCTTTGCTTCAAGCTCAGTAACTGTTTCAATGCATTGTCTGATGAGTTGGTAGCTGTGGCTTCTGGGCAGTACTGAACAGTATTGGTGTGTATTATCGAGCGTATTCTTGAAGAAGCTTCATCAAAACTTAATCTGGGGCATGGTTTTACTGAGTGATTGTTGGGTGATTACCAGCTGAATAATTTCCAGAGTAGTTAGTATGATTTGCGCTTCCCTGAACAGGTAGTGCTGCCCACTGCAAATATTCACAGCTTGCATGAACTAGTTACCTCAGAGATAATGGCAAAGCTGCTTAAAGCAGCCTTGTGGCACACATGCAACCTGACATACGGATGAGGAGGAAGCTGCTTAGCAACAGTGCTACAGTGTAGGATACCGGAAGAAAATTGTGTTCCCTTTAGAGCCATAAAGCATCTTCTCTTCTTTATCTACTGTCTCTTGCTAATCTGCATGTTGCTATTCTGCCTACCTAAGAAAAATCAGTTCAATATAGTTGTCTGTTTGGTAATGGATTGCAGAACTCTGATCACCAGTGGTATTTAACAAAGAAAGCTTAGTGGGTTTAGGGGCAAACCTGAACTAAATAACAGGCTGATGTGTGTGGTTTTATTTTTTTTTGGTGGAGCCTTTTGCAGCAACATCTTCAGAGCCAGCCAGCAGTTCAGATCCGTTTGCAACATCACCACCAGCTCTGGAAAAAGATGTCAAGGCCCAAGCTAAGAAAGTCTTAAGCTTGTTTGAAGAGGAGGAAGAGGAGAGACTGGAAGATGATGATGGCATTAAAAATGCACATAAAGAAATTGGTGTGGTGAGTCTAGGGAAGTAGAAGAATTGTGGAATTTGAAGCCTTCTGATTTATCTCTATTTTCTTTATATTGTTGCAGTTCGCTTGGTGGATATATGCCTGCAAACTTAGTTTCAGCAAGAATCATCTTAATTCTGTGTTCACTTATATTTTTCAAGTATGCATGTTCACTTTTTAAAAAAAGCTCCAAGTTGTCGTATTCTTCTTGTCTGGTTTTTCTGATATAGCATATGCCATCAATAGGTAGACTTGGAATCTTCAGCAGCATTATCCTTGGATGCACAGCAATGTTCTCGTTTCTACTTGGTGCAGATGTACCAAAATTTTTTAGGGGGAAACTTGAAGTCATGACAAAAAAGTGCATACTGCATACTACAGTATTCCACAGAGTTTCATCATCTTAGCGTGACTATGTAAACTAAGCTGTCAACTCTAAAAGCTATACGCACTTTATTCAGAAGTCTCTGGAGCTGAACACAATAGATGGCTCTTGGAGAAAAATCCCTGGTTATAGCTGCTTCTGAGTTAAAATGCATTGTTAACCTTGAGTGCTTATTTACTTGTTGTGAATGTGTTTGGGGGGGCAGTTGGGGAGGGCACATTGTGAGATGGTTGCAAGAAGCCACATCTGTCCTATGAATTTGGAAAGTTACAAATCCTTTTGAATCTTTCCTTCAAAGCACTCAGCTGTCAGCATGTAACAGTCACAAAGTGATTAAAGTGATGAAATGCATATTCATGCAAAAATCAAGTTTAGGAACTTGATCTTTTTGATAGGCAGTCTGAAAGGTGCTACTATTTTCTTTGCTTATGTCAATGTAATATGTGCTTCATGTGTGGATACTTCTAGATCTGCATCATGTATCTGGGCATAACCAGCAATTCTAGTGCTCTAAAAATGTGGCTTGGCTTTTGATATAAAATTAAAGCCAGTGCTGAGAGTGGAGCAGTAATAAAAATCATAGGACAGAGTGTGTGGACCAAAAACAGTGTACTGGAAACTAGCTTTAGTAGGCAGCCCTTTGGGGCTCCTGGAGACGTGAACTGGGAAGGGGAGAATCCACCTTTATTCTTATGACTATTGCTCCTGCAGCTTGAATTTTGAGTCTGATGTTATGCTATTGGACACTCAGTTATGCTCTTAAGAGACATCCTTTCATTTGCGTAGATCCTGAAGAGACAGCTGGGTAACAAACCACAGATACTGGCCTCTACCTAGACTTTCAGCAGGGCCTTTTACTTTTGAATGTCAGATCTGAGTGCATACAGTGACCATAATCGTAGGAAGGCATTGATTTTGGTGTCCAAGCAGCTGATAGTGGTTGGCTCACCAGATAGCACAGGGCTGATAAGGTGCTATGTTTGACTGTCAGCTTTTTCCACCACCAACATATCTGGAAGTACAAGTTCTTGCCAAAAGCAGACAGTGTGTTCTGTTCTTTGTTCTGGGGATGTGTTTGCTTCAGTGCAAGAAGAAAAGGGAATCTAGCAATAATAATAGCTTTAGAGGCCTTCAACCCCATTTGTTGTCTTTTTTTTTTAAGTTTATTTTTCTTTAAAAAGGTAGTTTAGGAAGATAATTAATCAGATTCTCTTCCTCTGACTTCTCTGTCCTGCATCCTCAGCTGAAAAATTCAAGGCATAAAAGTCTTACTGAAATATAAACCTTTCTGTACACTCAAAGTAACATACTGAAAACTTTTTTTTTCCTTCCTTGTAAGGAAGTTTTACAGGGAAATAGTAACAGCTGGATCTCGGGTCAGCAGGCACAGATACTTTTTGGTTAATGTCTTCTCATCAAATTGAACTGTGAATATAAATATTTACATTGTAAGTTTTGCAAATTTGGCCAAAGTGAAATATATAACTGATAGCTAAAGTTGTATTTTTATTATCAGGGTTGTAGTGTAGCCTCAGGCTTATTGTAACCTCCCTTGTCCCTAGGCAAATAACTTCCTTAAGGAGAGAGTTTCTCACTGTGTGAACCCTTCTCTTCTCCTTCCAGACTTCTGAGAACAGTACGCGGCCCAAAAGCACTGGAGTCTTTCAAGACGAAGAGCTCCTCTTCAGTCACAAACTTCAGAAGGACAATGATCCAGATGTTGACCTCTTTGCCAGTCCCAAGAAGTCAATGGTGAATTCAGAGCTCTTTTCTGAACTTGCTGTTTAGAAACAGTCTTTGAAATGTGCAGCCTTGTTTGTTTGAACAAACTCCCTGTTTTCCAGGGAGGGCCAAGTGCTAATATCAGTTCAGGCATCGTAGGCCAAAGATATGCTTTTAATCTGTGACACACAGACATCTATTCTTTATCTTTTGTCTCTTTAGTCTGCAAACCGTATCCTGAAGCCATCATCTGGAGGAGGGCTTTTTGGCGATGACGATGAAGATGATCTCTTCAGTACTCCTAAAACAAACCTTCCGGTATCTGTTCCTCTGCTGTAAATGGGTTATATAAAAGACATTGGAAAGAAGTATATGAAAGCGATTTTTGTTTCCGTATGTAGTCCCATGAGAAATGAAGTGAGTTCTCAAATCTTTTTGAGAGAATAGAAATGGCTCTTGTGACCCTGATGACATGAGGCACAAACAGATGCATTAGGTCTTCCAAAGCTGGGGTGATTTTTCTTGTTGTGTACCACTGAGTCTGGCTGAGGGATAAGAGAACACACCTGAGCAGAAATCAGAGTAGTAGAGTTTGTATTGTTTAATTGTTTTATTGTTTAGCTTGCTAATATTACTTTCCAGTAGTTCGTGCATGACAGATGAGCCTTGCGCTGATACTTATGTAATTAAAGTCTCTGCAGGTTGGTTTGATTTAAGGTCATGAATGCTGTATTAAAATCCTTGTGATCACTGGATTGCTTTGAGAGGACAAGCAGTTGCAGTAATGAACTTGACTGCATTACAGGTGATCTGAGGTCAAAGTCCTAACATGCATTCTAAACTGCTACTCTAAATGTATTTAGCTTAATTAAATTGAAGCCAACTTTTACTTCAGTCTCTTTTCACGTGTATAGCTGGAAGTTAGGCTGGAAAACTGGCAGTGGTTCCTGGAAACAGTTCTCTGAGGACTGTGGAAGGGGTGGTCTTAGGTAATTAGCACTTGGCAGCTATATGTGGAGCCTATTTGCTTGAAAACATTAAAAATAGCAGTGTTTCTTAGCTAGCTTTGTGCTTTTATTTTCCCTGCTGTCCTGTGCATAAGGAAATATGTATGCATTTGGAAGTTTATTGAAACTGTCAATATTTATCATTACCAGCAAAAGGTTGAGGTAGGCTAAAGGAATGCAGGAGTGGGAGGTCCTTGTCATTGCAAAGCCAAAAGACAATGCCTACTATGCATTGTGGAGTCAAAAGATGTGGCTAGTTTTCTTTTCAGATAGAAGCAAGATTTTATAAAGCTTTGCTTGTTGCTTTGGGTTTGGTTTGTTGGTTGTTTTTTTTTGATCTGCAAACCATGCTTTTTACCTAATTCATGTTGACTTTTGCTCTTAATGCTTTCAGAAAATAGCTGAAAAGAAAACACTTAAGGCCAGTACTGGCCCTTCCTTGGAGAGCAGTAACCTTCTAGAAAATGCTTCAAGTGCCAAGCAAGATGAAGCTCCAAAGTCAGTAACTACAGAGGCAAGTACTTAAATCTTGCAATCTGAACAGTGTGTGAAGAAAAAGAAATGTATCTCATTTTGTTTTAATAAGATCAAAACTAATGCCTGGATTCACTGGCTGCAAAGCAGCAATGCGTGTCCAAACTTGTCTCTGCTTATCAGCGTGCACCGTTAGTAGCAAGAAGTTTAAATGCTACTGAGAGTGTTTTGTTCGTTGCCCACACTCTTATAAAGGCAAAAGTACAAGGCGGTGAAGAACTACGCCTCAGGTCCAGTTGGACTGAAAATGGGTTGTTGTTCATCTTCTCTGAAGTGCCAGTGTCTGTTGGAATGAATATAATCTTTATAGGTACGCTTTCTCAGAAGGAAAACCAGGGCATGCAGCACAAATCTGTGCCTGTTGAGAATCTTATCTTGGAGACTTGACAACGAGCAAACAAGACTCCTGCTCCTGTCCCTAATCCTGCGGAACCAAAGGTCTTTGGGAGAGGCAGTCTGGATCTGAATTCTGGCTTGCGCCAAGAGCTGCTTGTCGGATTTCCATCTGTGGGAGATCAGCTTTTCATTGTGGGGGGTGGGTGTTGTGTTTTTATGCTCTGCGTTGAGGAACACAGAGCAAGTCTGCAGGGCTAGTAATTAGCCTGCCTTCCCTTATGGTGAAGTATTCCTTGAAGTGTAGAACCATGCTCATCTTCCCTGTTTTGTAGCTACTGACAGCATGATATAGGAACGATTTCAGCCTGTCTGAGGTTCAGCTGAATGCCACATGCATTTAAGTGGAGAATGATCTCCTCAAACACTAGGATTCTTCTGTCATGCTATCAAGACCTCCAAACCAGTGTCCTCACCCTTGCAAACCCTTGCTGACTGCCCAGTCATACCAACAGCGTAGAGCTTAGCTCACAGAACAGTGTAGACCACAGACTTGTGGAGAGCAAGCCCAGGGAAGAGCTCCTTAGCTGATCTGGTTCATCCCTAAGTCCTAGAATTGACCTAAGTCTTCTGACCAAAAAGCTGCCCTTGCTCTTTTAGCTTTTTAGTGTTATTTCTGGCACTGATGCTCTACTCTCTTCTCTGAAGCTGTTTTTCTGTAGGCTGAGAGGTACAATTTGTAGCCTTCTTGGTTTCCAAGTGAGCTTCATTGAAGTCTGTGGACCTATTACAGCCAGTCACAAAAAAAGAAATTTATTTCCTGACCTGGCAACATGGCTTCAGAGGGCCTTAAGGGAGGAAATAGGCAAGGAGGAAAGATAAGTGTCACAGTTTGATTTGACTGGAGGTATGTGCGACCTGGAGAAGATGGAAGTCGTTGGGTTACTCTGGCAAAGTACTGGGTAGAAGGAGGGTGGAATGAAATGTGATAATGAAGATGGGGATATGACATGTGGGGATCTGAATCTAAAAACTGACTGACTAGCGCTGGTGGTAGAATTGATTATAACAAGGTATCTTCAAAAATGAGTAAGGAGTGAGCTGCTTTCTGTAGATATATTAACATGCAAACTATGGTCTGGTTGGTAACAACTTGTCCACTTGTTTAATCCAGTGTAATTTTGTGCAGAAATCTACAGGTCCTGTTCCCATTAAAACCAAAGAGCCCTCATCTCGGATTGGAAAGCTACAAGTAATTAACTTTACTGGCATTTTAACTTAAAAAAAAATTTAAAATCTTCCTTGCCTCGCTGATGGCTTTTGCTGAAACAAAAATCTTTTTACTTCCTTATCATACTCTCGCAATTTTGTTATTTTTTTCAGATAGCATATTTTCTGTTACTTTTTCTGTATTGCATGTTTAATTTTATTTTCCCCTCCCATTTCAGACCTGACGGAGCAGCACTAGTTACTTAATTTGGGGACAGAGGGTGGGCTCCTCTTTGACCTCCTATTCTTCTCAGCACTATTTTAAGTATATCTTTTAAGTATATCTATCTTAGGCATGTGCTCAGAGACTCACAGGAGTTTAGTTATGTCCCTTTTCTGACTCGGAACAACTAATACCTGTCTATATGACAGTATTATTCTTAACATCAGAACCAGTGCCCTCAGACAGGGTACTGAGCTACATAGGTTTTGGTCTGACATAACGTGGCCATGCTGCTCCAGAAGCTCTTACACAGAATAATAGTGCTGAGCACTCTGCAGGCACAGTGAGATGTGTGAGATTTAGAGGATGTGGCAGACACAGAAGTGCATAGCGGTGAGAAAGGCCTGGCACACGTAGAACTTGAATGCCTACATGAGATAGTTCTTGCTGCTTCTCTGGACCCATGCTTGCCCTTGAGCAGTATTAACATGATCTCTTTTTGAGTGTGTTTTTTGTTTTCTCTATTTTGTAGGCTAACTTAGCTATTAACCCTGCAGCCTTACTACCTGGTGCAATGCCTAAGGTCTCCAATGTAAAGTCTCCCTTACCAATTTTGGACACTCTGTTGCATGAGTCCAAGGATGTCCAGAATAGTGAAGCTGTCTCAGCTGCAGGAAGCAACGAAGAACTCGGTGTAAGCTTTGATCAGCCTATGCAAGCGGATACTTTGCACAGTGCCAATAAGGTAACCTTGATCTTTAGAGGGACAGAAATGAGGATTAAAAATATGGTCTGTCCTTGTGCAGCCCTTTGTGTTTTGGTATGTAAGTTTTGCTAGCAGTGTGGTCTGTCTGAATCTAATCCCCTCCAACTTCCATGGACCGCTGAAGAGAAGGTCAAGCCTACTATGTTCTTACCTCTACTCATGCATATTCCTAATTCTGTGCCTTTTTAAGATACGTATCTACGTTCCCTAAATACAGTTATTTTTCCCTATAAGTTAAAATCTGAAAATCATAAAAAAGGCATCTCTCTAGGCTAACTATAAAATATATTATGGACAGCTGCTGTAGCAAGATATCAAGAATACATCATTGCTGCAGGCTGAACTTTACCTCCTCTGTGGATAAAAATGTTGTCCTGAACTGTCACTCCCATTTCTTTTTCAAAGAAGATTTTTCTTTTTAAAGAAAAAAAATGCTACAAAACCAAAACAAAAAAGCATTACAGCTTTTGACATGGCAGATCTCTGCCTCCTGACTCACTTAGTTTCTTATTCATAACCTTTTACTTTACTGACTGGAAAAGCAATATTTTAATTAAAGATTTAGTGCTTTTTATAACAAAAAAATCTTGAACCCTACAGTTCAGATATGGTCTGGGCGATATGAATAAGATATTTAGGATCGTAACTTTGTTTCTTTCCTTATTGCTGCTGGGACTGTTCATTACTAGGTGAGCAGCAGAGATGAGTTGGGAAGATGCAGCAGCTGTCACCACAGTGGCTTACATGACACCATGGTGTCAAATGGGTTTGAAGCTTGTACATCAGACTAATGCATTACCATATAGGAATAGTTGTTTCCAGTAGCAGCATGTCCTGCATAACCCTCTATCATGATACTTTTAAACAGATAGACTTGCAAAAGAGTAGAGCTCCTGTAGCTGCATATGGTCAATGTTGAATGTTCATTTTAGCTCAGTGATGATGTAGGTTTGTTTACAGAAGTAATCTGAGAAGAAGCATTCAGTAAGTACACAGTAACTGTTTTTTGTAGCTCAGGTTACATGTTTGAATTTTGGCATGTTGTCACTTCTTGAACCTTTCAAGTTTGAGTTTAAGCTGTAAATATATGCAGCCAGATGCACGTTTTTCCAAAGGCTAGAACAAAGCAACCTACCCAGTGTTCCAGCTGTCCTTTCAAAGAACAGTGCATGGAGCAGGGATCACGGGGTTTTTTTCAAGTGCATCTCCCTTCCGTCATAATTTTCTTGGTTTTCAGCCGTTCTCAGATCAATACAGCCCCACATTCTGAAGGCAGATGTGCTTCCACAGTGATTTGGACAAAACCACACAGCTCCTTTAAGCTATGTGACAGCACATCCATCCAGATTTTCCTTCTACTCCAACACAGCAACTAACAAAAGGGAAGAGGAGGTTGTACTGATCTATTTCCTGCCTGTGTGAATACTCCTGTCCATGTGGGATCTGGTAGAGGCTATAATGGAAACTTGCAGGGGGGCTTCTTTAAAAGCAGCAGAGGAATGAACTGCAGCAGGCTATGCATAAAATTAAATTAAATGGAAAGCATAATTAGTCATGGCTTGGACAGACTACTAACTGCACTGCAGAAGCCCCTGGATTAGCAAGCTGTCAAACTGACTAAGGTATTACCTAAAGCTGAGGAGCTAGAGTGGCTTGCTGTGACACTCTGCTTGTGAATGCTCTTGCTTTTGTAGCCAAAATTCACCTGCTGTGAAATGACCAGAGGATGGCAAATCAAGAGTACTGTGTTATTTTTCTGAATCTTGCTGCAAACTACTCCAAGTCTGAATGTCCCACTTGTCCATCTTTCCCATTTCTGAAAAATGAGGAGAGTGGATGATACTGAGCTGCTGATGAATGGTTCCTGCTGCTTATCCCTATAACCTACATCAATGTCTGCGCAACATTCTTGTTCAAGATTACCGAGTATTTGTTTCAATGTACACGTTCAAGTTACTTAAACCAGAGCTGTGAACAGAACTTGTAGTTAATTTGGCTTCAGTGTGCTAGTACAAAACTGGTAATGCATGCTAATTGCAGTGTTGTGAAGGCAAACAAAGTGCTGTGAGGAAACATAATGGGAATCCTAACCTGTCTTCTGTGAAGTGTGTCGGTTTTTGTTCTTTCTGTATAACCTTGCTCTGCTGCCGTGGGTTAGGGCTGGGCCGGCCTCTAACACGGACAGACGCACTCTAACCCCCTCTTCCGCCCGCAAATGGGAAGGAAAAGGGAATGAAGCAGAGAGACTTTTGGGTTAGAGAAGAAAAAAAAACTAGAACAGCTTTAATGAAACAATAATAGAAAGAAAAGGGGAATGATAAAAGTAATGAACTATATACAACTATAGGTAATAGCCCGATATCAAACCCGACTCCCTCCCCCGATAGCAATCACCGCTGGTGCTGCAGAGCACAAGGCACTGGGGCAGCCCCAGGCTCACCCGTGGCGGCAGGGGGATGGATTCAGGGAGCTGGATTTGGGAACTCAGGATCTGGATCAAAAGCAGGAGGTCAGATGGAGTCCTCCCTGGACACCGGCCATTGCAGAAAAGGGCAAAGAAAAAAAGGGCAAAAGGGAACGAAACTCTCATGATCACTCAATTTATACTAAATATGACATATATGGGATGGAATACTCTCGTTGGTCACCTGTCCTGCCTGTTACCCCCCCGGAAGTGCAACCTTTTACTTCCTTGTGACCCCCCTTTACTACCTGGCACCCTCAGCGTGGCACACAAGAGCCAGCAGTGGCCTTGGTCACTATAGGAATAAGTATAAGCAAGAGCCTTTCTGCATCCCAGTCCCAGGCAGTAACTGTAAACATCAGGTGTTATCACTGCCAGTAGCAGACACTGTCTGCAAAAACATGCTGCTAACTTCAGAAAATGCAGCCTTTTAGAAGACACTAAACTGAAAAGTAAAAATCACTAAATAGAACTGGGTTTTAGCTCAAACCCATGACACTCTGCTTTACTCCTTTTCTTGCAGACCAGGATCAAAGTTACAGGAAAACGAAGACCTCCTAGCAGAATGGCCCGCCGTCTAGCTGCCCAAGAGTCTGAAGAAAATGAGGAGGTGGACAGTGCTAAAGAATCACAATTCTCTCTACCAAAACAGATGCCAGCAGTAGTGAACATAAAGGAGCCTCTTGCTATAGAAGCAGAGTCCAAAGAAAATGGCTTTCTCTCTAGCTTGTCACTACCAGCTCACGGTAGTGTTTTACCTCCTGGGACAAACAAACTCCTTCCTCCAGAATCCACAGACCAAGGAGATGATCTGTTTGAATCAGAAGACCTTTTTGCAAGCAGCTCAACACTGAGATCAGCTGCACCATCAAAGTTAAAGGAGGGAATGCCAGACAGTGTGGCTAACAAACCCATGAAGGGCAGGGAGAAAAAGCCTGATCTGTCTATTCTGAGTGATCAGGACAGCAAGGATCTTTTCCAGCCTGCACAGCAAAAATCTTCAACAAAACGCAGCCCTGTACCTTTTTTGGAGGAAGAGGAAGACTCTCTCTTCACCTGTCAGAAAACTGGAAAAAAGGAGTTGAAACCTGCTGTCCAGCAAGCTGTTGACCCTACAGCCCAAGATATCTTTGAGGTAAATTACTGACCGTGCCACCTTGGCCTTTTTGAAACCCAAGTTCTTTTGCAGACCCCTCTACATAGGCTTAATGAAGACTGCTGAGTAGCATGGGGTGAGCAGGATAGGTAGTAAAGTAAGCTATCAGTCATGCACTGCAACTGGGCAATAGAAAACCTTACTTTTGTTGTTGACCCCCTTATTAGCAAGAGTGGATTGAAAGGTGGAGCCTTAACACAGAGCAGGCATGTCAGTGTGCTGTGACAACATACCTATGATTATCACCTTTTTCAGAGTAATAAAGTGTTTGGTTCTTATCTATTAGCTGTCTGTTCAGTGCACAGCAGCTCAGATAACTCTTCTTTAAAAAGAATAAAGTTGAAAGGCTGGCCAGCTGATACAAGCTTCTGTGTACTTTACTTGACTTGTGCACAGTTCCATGCTAAGGCACTTCTGCTGAGTCGTTCATGGGGAAAAGGGACTCAAAACTTCTTGCCAGTTGTGTCGCTGTTCCTCAGTGGCACGACTTTTGGGCACATGGGCATCTACGTGGGGTACCTTTACAATCAAGTTCTCTAGCCGAGCAGCAATGTCTTGCCATAGTTCAGCAGCCCAAATAGGCTTCCCTCTGCGCTGCCAGTTATTTTGCTTCCACTGTTTTAACCAAGCCCAAAAAGCATTTGCCACCATCCATGAGTCAGTATAAAGACAGAGCTCTGGCCATTTTTCCCGTTCAGCAATGTTTAAGGCCAGCTGGATGGCTTTTACCTCTGCAATCTGACTCAATCCATCTTCTCCCTCAGCTGCTTCTGCAACTTGTCTTGTGGGACTCCACACAGCAGCTTTCCACTTACGGCGATTTCCTACAAGGTGGTAAGATCCATCAGTGAATAGGGCATATTGCTTTTCATTTTCTGGTAACTGATTATATGGTGGAGCTTCCTCAGCACGTGTCACCACCTCCTTAGGTGGCATTGAAAGGTCTTTACCTTGTGGCCAGCCTGCGATTACCGCTAAAAGTCCTGGACGATCGTGATGACCCAT